GAAGATTTCTTTTGGCTTATCCTTTTGAAGATTTTGATCCAGGATCAAATCCTGCCTTATAGACTGACTACTGGTCTGCTATAGCTCAGCACTACTTGGCAGGGACACAAGGCAGAGGAAACTTGTCTCCTCTCATCCCTATAGACCAGGAACAGAGGAGAAAATACACAAGAGACTGGGATTCCATTAGCCCACCTCCTAATAGAGACAGGTTGAGGGACAGGTTGTTAACATATGGACCTTCGGGGTCTATTCTAAACAGCAGTATCTGCTCTGTAATTGATATTAACTAAGTTAGCCACTTCCTTACTGAATAACAATGTAAAAATGGAAAGTCAGGTTGATTTTTTTCCTAGGAAATGTCTCTTACAGATCAAAGCATACAGATTTATAATCAAGGACTTAATCACTATTATTTAGAACAGTGGGAAGAAATGGAAACTACCAAGAACTTCTAACCACTGGTCTAGGCACCTAATATGAAATAATACTATTCAGACACTATAAATCAAATTCTCATTGGTGAGGAGATGAAAGATACTGTAAACTGGGCGCCAGTGGCTCACACCTGTAATCCTAGCTACTCAGGAGGCTGAGATCTGGTCCAAAGGCAGCCTGAGAAGGAAACTCCATGAGATTTATATCTTCAACAAACTACTCAAAAAAGCAAGAAGTAGTGCTGTGGCTCACCTTGAGCAAAAAGAAGGAAAAGAAAAAAAGAGGACACTGTATTCATAGAACTCCTATTCACAAATTGCCACTCAACTTGTAAAAAAAACACAGACAGAACTGAACTTTTGCTGTGTTTAATCACTGACAATTTAAGAATTTATTGTGTCACCATCCTCGGAAAGAAGAGAATCTATAAAGATAAAAGAAAAGGCGATTTCAGTGTCCATTAATGACAGACTAGGGAATTCCAATCAATATTCCTACTAAGAACCCAGACAAAGTTGTTTTTAACTTTCTACCTGGAGGTACTGGAAGTAGTAAAGATTATCTGACCAACTATAAGAAGATAAAAACCCAGATAAGTGAGTTCGATGTTTGAAGCATCTTTTCTCTTAGGAGCATTTGTTAATGTTGACAGAGACAGTTTTGTGTCAAAAGTTAGACCCTGTTTAAAAAAATAAAAAGAAACCACAGTGATGTGGTTGGGACCCTGAAGTTCTGTCCTTTATGAGTGGAGATAAATTGGAAGAGACTTTCGATGGCATGTAGCTACGCTTGAAATCTCTGGGGGCCAAGAATATCTCCATACCCTCCAACTTCCACAAGAAGTAAAAGGCCTGGGAGAGGGGAGGAGGGGATTTTAAGCCAAAATGTATTTCTTCAAACAACCTTTCCAATATAACATTTGATTCAGTTGAAGAAAACCAGGTGTAGATACAGATGAGATTATATGAACAAAACCCAGCAAAATAAACAGAAAATAGAAACACAATCACATGATCTCCGAAGATTGACACTAAGCAGACTTTACAACAATTAGCTTGCTCTGTTGCAGGAGATAAAATACAAGGCTGAACATTTCAGCAGAGAATGGAGGTGGGAAATAAAACATAGCATAAATGAAAGAATCAATTTATTTTAATTCTAGAACTGGAAAGAAAATAATCAAAATTAAGAACCTAATGAATGACATTTTACCAGATGAGACTTTGCTTTTCCTCTCTTTGAGAAATAAAGAACTGAAAAACAAATTAGAACAATTACAGAATGACAAACTGAGCATGATGGCACACACCTGTAATCACAGCACTCCAGAGGCTGAGACAGGAGTTGTATCTTAAAAGATCAGTGTGGAGAATAGCCAAATCCAATGGAAAACATAAATCTACAGACTGAAAGTTAAATTAATGAACTTTACAGAAAAGACAAGGGGGGGGGGCAAGTTTTGTAGTCAAAGATGACTTTAGGAGTTCTGGCACAGTCAAAAGAGTGATATGATTATCTCAGATACACACAGAGGGAAGAACAAGCTTGTTGCAGTTAAGAGGAAACAGCATTGCCTGGCACCAGTGGCTCAAACCTGTAATCCTAGCTACTCAGGAGCCTCAGATCTGAGGATCACGGTTCAAAGCCAGCCTGATAAGGAAAGTCCGTGAGACTCTTATCTCCAATTAACCACCAGAAAACCGGAAGTGGAGCTATGGTTCAAGTGGTAGAGCACTTGCCTTGAGCTGAAGAGCTGAGGGGCCGTGCCCAGGCCCAGAGTTCAAGCCCCACAACCAACCAACCAAAAAAAAAAAAGGATTCAGCATGAAATCTAAATAGAAGGCTTCAAATTTTACTTATTGAATTTAATACCTAGGCAGGTCTAACAAATGGCCCATTATTCCTTGAAGACTGATTATTTTTCTCCTGTGCTCACTGGCTGAAAAGGACAATCAAGACTTCATTAACTCAAGAATCCAACCACCTTAAACTCCTTCCCTGCCACCTTAAACTCATGCTTGGCCTCCCAGCAGGCAAGGTAGGGGGTACTCTATGAATGGATGTTAGCAGGAAAACATATAGACTTGCCAACATTACGTTGGTGTTCCAATGTAATGATATGTCTAGTACAATCTACACAGAAAACAGAATAATATAGACAGGCTTTTTTTAGCTTTGAACACCATGATCCAGGATCCATTTTTCTCTGAGGGCAAATTAGAGGCAAAAAGTGAGATTTAAGCAGGTGACACCAACTTCAAATGAGACAACTACAACTTTGTGCTACAATCTACAATAGTACCTAATGAGGGATATATATATATATAGATATATATAGATATATATAATATGTACCTATTTATTTACTTTATTAACACATAACACACAAAAACAAAAACAACTGGCTGCCATAAACTTCTGATTTATTTATTTAGAAAACATCACCATTTTCACAATAAACTTTGTGACTAATGAAAATGATAACGCATGCTCTCTTTACAGCTCAAAATTTCCCCTCAAAAGGTTAAAATCTAGTAACAATAGTAATAGCTATTTATGAGCACTTCTATATGCCAGAAACTGTCTTAGTGAATTCACTCATTAAAGTTATTTAAATATATCTGACAACATAAATTATACATGATACAATAATATTGTTTAATGGAAAGTCAGACAATTATCTTTTAATCTGAGATTGTTATTTTTATAAAACACATTACAACAAGGGATCAGACATTACAACAGGTACAGCAAGGGATCAGACATACATAGATGAGAGAAATTAGGGGGAATAAAAAAACACTTTACTATAATAATAAACTGTAAGTAAATCTATGGTTTTCCATGATATTAAATTTTTCTTCTGAAAAATAGAAATAATGTCAAAACCAATGGACAGGAAAATAATTTTATCTTTGCGTAACCCTTTACCTGCCAGCCTTATATTTTTATTTGGCCTTAACATTTTAAAGTATATCTGGAGCAAAGCCACCTTATTGCCTGGTAGAATCAAAGATGAATTTTTCAATACCAACTATAGGTCCAGTTGTTCACGATGTAGTTGTTCTAGCATTTACTTATATAACTACTGCTATAATATTGTGCTTCCCCTGAATATCATTCCAAACAAAGTTATTCAAAGTACCTCAATCATTTTTATAATCAATTTTATAAGATATAGTCAAATTCCCTAATATACTCAGCAGCAGAAAATGCTAAGACATACATGTACTTAGAAGACTAGCCGAATTTTACCTAATAAAGAGCATGACATACTTCTAAAATTATTACATGTCTTAAAGGTTTACAAGTAATCTGGGACATTATTTAGTCACATTCTTGGTTATTATAGAAAGGTGAGCTTTAAATGCCAGGTGGCCATTTGATTCTTAGAAATTTGGTTTTCTTGTCTAGCTACTTTTGTTTTTCTCAACTTCTTTGAATCTCCCATGTAGTCTGTGATGCTTATTAAACAACCATAAATTCCCAGAATCCCTTGACTCTTCAAGTAATATAGGATTGTAAAGGTCTTTCAGTCCACACTCTTGCAGAATGCTTGAACCCCCTTTGCTCCATCAACTTAAAAAATCCTCATCTCCGCACCTGCTCCAACAGGGAACAACCCACACATTCTCTTTTCCGTTGTCATCCTTGCAAATGTCTTTCTTATACTGAACTACCTTCTTTCTAAAACTGACACTGAGAGAGCTTCACGCATCTCAGCCCTAGCCTTGACATGATGACTTTGGGCTAGCCAAACTTCTGCGTTAGTCTCCTTCATTGTAAAGTAAGGATAACACATTGTATTATAGGAGTGTGGAGATTGAATAAGGATGTTCATAGAGCACCTGGCACAACAGAAAGCCTCTGTGAGCCACAGCATTCATGCACAGCTACCCTCTGAGATGTAATGGCAACTCTCATTTACTCTCCTCAAGCCTAATATCTTTGTCTCCTTCAATATTTCTTTGAACAACATTGTGTACTTGTCTTCCTTATTCTCCTAGTCCTTCCTGTCTGAATAAATTCAGTTCTTTGAGAGTAGGCTCAATTGCCAATCCAAATTTTAAACACTATAATCAACTGTGTGTGTGTGTGTGTGTGTGTGTGTGTGTGTGTGTGTGTGTGTGTGTGTGTGTGCATGTTCTGGGGTTTGAATTCAGGGCCTGGGTACTATCCTTGAGCTTTTGTGCTCAAGGCTAGCACCATGAGTCACAGTTCCACTTCTGATTTTTGATGATTAATTGGAGATGAGAGTCTTAAGGACTTTCCTGTTTGGGCTGGCTCAGATCTCAGCCTTCTGACCAGTTTAGGATTACAGGCATGAGCCAGTGCCCAGCCTATGATCAACTATTTTATCAATTGAAAGCAAACTCCATACATTTAGCGTCACTGCAAGATAACATTTCTCTTTTCTCTCTTCCTGATTAGGTCTCCTCCCTTCCTCCATGTCTCTTCTGATGTCCCCCATACTTGGCTCTCTGGCAAGCTGGGCTATGGAAAGGAATAGGGATGGATACTTTGTGGCTCCAAGGTAAGATGACAGACATGGACCTCACACATTAGGATGTGTCTGAGAAATGTCCCTCCTCATTCTGGTAAGATGGTGGCTCTTCCTCCTCAACAGTGGCTCCTCTCTGTCTGCTCCATTCCTTCTTCCGGACTTCACAATTCTGCATGGTGGCACCGTACGACATCTTCTTCCTGGGACTCCCAGAAGGCTCATGGTTGAGTTCTGTCTCTTCAGCTAATTCATCCTGGTCAATGATCCCACATTTCTCCTCAGAGAGATTCTCTGGGTCAGCCCATTCCTGCTTCTCCCCAGAAGCAAAGACTCCATAGAAGATCACACCACTGTAGTGCACCAGTGCAGCTATGAGGAACACATTCTGCCACTCCTCACGGGTCTAAACCAGGAAATAATGCACCAAATTCAATATTTCAGCCCAAAACAGCGATTAGGAGTGTGTCATAAAGGCTACTACTGGACAAAAGCACCTGCTTACAGCAAAGGCAGCTCTAGATCTGGCGTCCCTGGGAGAACATGTGTCCAACCCAACATTCAAGACCCATACAAAATTTGAGTGCTTAAAAACGTAAAAGCGTCAGCGAGAGCAGTACATGCCTGTAATCCCAGCTCTGAGGAAGGCATAGATAGGAAGTTCAAGGCTGATCCAGAGGAAAAAAATGTGCAAGACTCTACCTGGCTCAAATGGTTCAAACCCCAGGACCACAAACAGTTACAAATCACAATTAATGCACACTTTTAATCTTAAGAGCACATTTGAAAATAAATTCAAGCAAGGCACTCATGGCTATAATGCCTATAATACTATACTACTTAGCTGAGAACTGAGGATCATTGTTCAAAGACAATTCAGGCAGAAAAGTCCTCTATCAACCAGCAAAATGCCAGACTGGAAGCATTTTGAGGTCGAATTCCAGCTGAGCAATCAAGTCTGAGTGAATATATTATCCTGAGTTCAAACTTCAGTACAAAAAATAAATACATAAAATTATAATATAAATTACACACAACACCGTTGCACCGCTATGTTGAATATACAAATGGGGTTTTCTCTCACATAGTAGGCTAAAATAAACAGCATAGTACCTTACTATGCTAAACATCAGAGGTTTCCTTCATGCCTACCACTGAAAACATAGCAATATTTGGGCCATTCAAGTATTCAACCTTGAAAGTGGTGCTGTGGCTGAAAATGATAGTAGTGCACCAGACTTGAGCAAAAGAGCTGAGGGATAGCGCCAGGCCGCAAGTTCAAGCCCCATGGCGACCACCAACAAAAAATAATAACAAAGTATTCAACCTTGAAAGCCATAGCTTATTTACAATCATTGTCTATATGTTAAAAACAGTAAACCAAAATATAATAGGAACTTATATTTAAAATTAGAGGGTAATAGTATCTTGGATTCTTTATCATATCATGGACAGAGAGAACACAGATCCTCTGTCTATAAAATTCCCAAATCCCATCTTTTTTTCTGTCAAAAAAAACCCAAAAACAGTCACCTTATCTTTTCTTCTTTAAGAAGAGGGAAGAATTTCTGAAGATGTATTTGTAATAAGCAATCAAAAACAAGTAAGTAAAAACCTACGATTCTTTTCAACCATCATGAGTTAGTAATTCTAATGTACATAAGGCAAGACCTACCTTTTTTTTCAGTGATAAATCTAGAGAAATCCTGTGGCCTGCAGTGGAATTCTCTGTACCACCCACACTAGTCTAAATATACCAAGTTGAGTTCAGTGGGGACTGAGGGCCACACCCTTGAGAGTTCTTAGAAGGGTCATTAATGTCATGTTTATTCTCTTTCTTAACAGGGAAGTATAACAGCACTAAGGCTTGTATGTTGGAACATGCTAAGGCATAGCTAGAAACAGGCTATAAAGTTTAAGCACTTGGAATTATAAAACAATCTTGGGTAACTCATTCATCCTGAATGGCTCATCTCAGTTTTTTTTTTCTGTACCTCAATAGTCTCTAGGGCCTTTGCCCTTTCCCCTAAACATTTATTTCCCAGCTGATAAAATGTAGAGCCAAACAACAATTAGCCCAAGTGCCATCAACAAACAGTGGCTTAGCCAGGTGTGGTGGTACCTGTCTGTAATTCCAGCATTCAGGAGGTGGAGGTAGGAGGATTGTGAGTTCCAGGCCAGCCTAGAATACATAGTAAAATCCCTTTCTCAAAAAGCAAAACAATAAGAAATGTACTCATTACTTTGCTCATGTAACTGTAACTCCTCTGTACAGTATTTTCACAATAAAAATCTTATTTTAAAAAAAGCAAAACAAACAGATCAACAATGATATAAAAAGTAGAAGAGGAGGTAGAAAGGAGAAGAAGGAAGAAGCTGAAGAGGAAGACGTTGTTCACCATTGTTAAGGCTACAACTTTAAATTGGGGTAAGGCCTTGGGGTCTTCAGCTTGCATGGCCCTTCTTTCCTCTACTATTATAGCGCATAACCACAAAAGAGAGCATTACCTTGTGCTTGGTCATTGCCCCAACGATGAGAGGACAGACCATGCCGGAGAGGGTCCCCACTCCATTTGAGATCCCCATGAGAATGCTGGCGTAGCGGGGCGCAATGTCCAGGTGGTTGACGTTAAAACCTAAGGTAAAGCCAAACCTTCAAGGTCAGGGTCAAGCCCAGAATCCAAATGCCCTCTGTGAAACATGGCTTACCCCAGCTCTCATCCGTCTATTTGATCTCCTCAAGTATATGACTGATACTCTACCAAAAGAGCCCAATGGAGCCTCACTACGCAGTGTCTGATCTAAGTGGGATACAATATTCATGAGTGATTAGGAAGATCTACATGGACTTGGATTTAGAACTACCAAAAATAGAGGGTTGGAAATCAGGAAAAGGGCAAAGCTACAGAAGAGGCTGATTGCAATGGGAACTAACTGCCAATATTGCCCAGGGAGTATATCTTAAAGTTAGACCTCAATTTTGACAGCTTAATCAATATGCAAGTCTGAGCAAAAGATCTACAAACTTCCTCAGTTTCTTAAAAAGCTATAAAGTGAGGCACTTATCTTACAAACTTGTTTTAATAATTAAGTAAAGTAACATGTTACTTTATGCCAAAATATGCTCTTTTTTATTTTTTAACTTTATTTATTTACTTATTTAGAGATGGTATTTTACTATATTGGCCAAGCCCTAATTCAGACTCCAGTGATTCTTCTCTGTCTCCTGAGTAGCAGAGGTTTTAGACATGCACCTCTAGGTCTGTCGATCCAAAGAATTTTTGATGTGTAATTGATTGTCCATCTTGTCTACCATCATCTTCCCTAAACTAGTAAAGCCTCTAGCACATGGTAATCCCTCAATGAATTTGTTTTTATTAATTATCGATGTGAGCTACTGAAGTATATTTTCCTTTTGGTTTGTTTTTTATCTCTCTTCTGTACAAAGATCCTAAAAATAGTATTAAAAACATTTTTTTCTTCTAATCTGACTCATTAGTTGATTATTTTCCTACTTCCATTCAGGGAGAAATTTTAAGAAAACCTTTCTTTGGAGGCAGTAATAAATATACCATCTCTTTTAGATCACAGTGCCAATCAGAACATGAAACTGCTTCAAATTAGTTAATCTTACTGTGATATGAATGTGATGAATGCTTTGTTAGAAAAGAATTCAAAGATAAGAAGCAATTAATATCATTGGTATTATATTCTGATACAAAGCCAGACTAGGCATCTATGTTCAGTTAAAGATGATAGAAGAAAAGCCATTTAAGTGTCTAGCTATACAATACCAGTGGTTCAAGTGTGGGGGGGAGGGGAGAATCACTGATATATTTTTCATAGCAGATAAAAAAAATTACACACCAGCTGGGAGAATCTGTCTTCTCTACCTAGGATATTTCTCAAAGCAGTAACCAATTACTTAGCCCTGTATCTAACCTCACCTATCTTGGTTCTGATGTCTATAATCAGCTCCAAATTCGTGCCAGTCTTCCCTGAGAATCCTAATTATCCTTTATGAAGTTGACACACAGGAGAGCTTGAGTAATGGCTGCTCCCAGGGTTGTAGTCCTTCTCAGAGTGTCATTGTTGAGTCAGATCTTTATTCCAGTCTAAGCACTCAAAATACTTGGGCAAGTTAAATCACCTCCCTGAGCCTCCCTTTCCTCATCAGTAAAATAGATGTAGCAATGTCCTTTTCACAGGATTGCAATGAGGATAAAGTGAGATCATAGTTTTAAAGTGGCAAGATAAAGTAAGTGCTTTTAAAAGGCAGCTCATAACCCCGGGAGTACTGGGTGCCTCTCTTCCTGATTGTGACTTAATTGGCAGTTCAGGAGAATGAAAACAATATGAACCAGAATGATCCAATATCTCTGGGAACAGGATATGAATCTCTTGCCTCACAGTTATCAAGGGAAGGAAGGGGTTCCTCAACATCCTCCTGGAAGCAAGTCATAATTGATCTATCCTCACTACTCAACATGTGGACTACCCCCTCCCTCCAGACATGGTAATGATGGTCTATAATCGCAGCACTCAGGAGGCAGGGGCTGGAAGAACACAAGTTCTGTGCCAACCTGAGCTACATAGTGAGTTCAAGACCAGGCTGAGCTACCAATTGAGATCCTGTCTCAAAAACCCAAGGGTTGGGTATGTAATTCAGTGGTAGAGTGTTTGATTAGCACATATAAGGCAATAAATTCAATCTCCAGTAATCACACACACACACACACATGCACATGCACACACACACACACACACACACACACACACACACACACACACACATACACACACACACAGAGTATAGAATAACAATACCATCACTCTGCAAAGCTTGTAGAAATGTAGACTCTCAGGACATACTCTAGACCTACCAAATTACAATCTGCCACTGGTGACCAGCTCAAGTTATTTCTTTTATACATTATAAATAGTCAAGCAAGGTCTCAAATCCACTTCTATGTTCTTCCAAGCCCAACTTCTTACCTGTAAGCTACTTTGAAAATAGACATTTTTCCTTCCTAAAAGAAACAAGTAGCCAGGGTCCAATGGCTCACATCTGTAATCCTAGCTACTCAGGAAGCTGAGATCTGAGGATGCTCAGGTAGGCAAGTCCATGAGACTCTTATCTACAATTAATCACCAAAGGGCCACAAGCAGAGCTGCAGAGCAAATGGGAGAACACTAGCCTTGAGCAAAAAAAGCTAAGGGACAGCATCAGGCCCTGAGTGCCATTGAGCTCTAGGACTAGCACACACATGAAAGCAAACCACAAAAGCACGGTCTTGTCTTTCCTTCCCAGTAATACATGGTGAGTTTATAGACAAGATTCAGAAACCCAAAGAATGCTTTACCTGAAATAGCAAAGCCACTAAATCCTACAGCAAGCACCAGAAAGGAGATAGCCACCCCTTTGGTATGGGAAAAACCAACCACCAGGAGCAAGGTGGCCTCCATGCCAAAACCTGCAAATGGAAAGAGAATAGGGGCAATGTTATTCTCATATCAGTCAGCCCAACATCATTGATTTATCAAGTAAGAATCCATATTTCCCCTGTCCTAAATGTATACAATCTGGCACAGTACTTACAGGTGTTTCAGGACTTCATGACTATGTTCATGTGACCTTTCTAACATTATCCTGTTGCACCCTTGAGCTCCAAATGATCCCAGTCTATTCCAGCAAGGCTTCCAGAATGAGGAATGCTGTTAGTTCACCAAGGGATAGTTGCTCATTCCATTTCATAAGCCAGGTATGGGTGGCTCATGCTTGTAATACTAGCTACTCAGAAAGCTGAGATTGAAGAATCATGGTTCAAAGCCAGCCCAGGCAGCCACAAGACTCATCTCTAGCCACCAAAAATGCCAGAAGTAGAACTGTGGCTGAAGTTGTCAATCATCAGCCTCAAGCAAAATCATTAAGGAACAGTGCTCAGCCCTGAGTTCAAGCTCCAGAAAAAAAAAGAAAGAGAGAAAGAAAGAAAGAAAGAAAGAAAGAAAGAAAGAAAGAAAGAAAGAAAGAAAGAAAGAAAGAAAGAAAGAAAGAAAGAAAGAAAGAAAGAAAGAAAGAAAGAAAGAAAGAAAGAAAGAAAGAAAGGAAGGAAGGAAGGAAAGAAAAGAAAGAAAGAGAGGGGGGAGGGAGGGAGGGGGGAGAGAGGGAGGGAGAGAGGGAGGGAGGAAGGAAAAAGAAGAAAAGAAACTCTCACATAAAATATGGCTTCTCACATAAAATAACATGATAGATAACCTTCTAATATTAACTGTTGAAAGCAGCCAGACAGCTGTAGTGATCATCTGAAATAAAACACAATATCTTACTGTTTGGGGAGCATAAAAGAAAATTCTTCCCTTTTAAGTTCACCCAGCTCTCAGGCCTCTTTTTTTAATGAGACAATTGCACTAAACAGCAGGACAAAACTATTTTCTGTTCCTTTCATTCATAACAATACAACACAATAAAATATGATGATAAAATTATAAATAAGTTTCTTCTCACCATAAAAAGAAATGAAGAGAGAGAAGAAAGAAGGAAAAAAGAAAGGAAGGAAGGAAGGAAGGAAGGAAGGAAGGAAGGAAGGAAGGAAAGGATGGAAGGAAGGAAGGAAGGAAGGAAGGAAAGAAAGAAAGAGAAAGAAAGAAAGAAAGAGAAAGGAATGAAATGAAATTCAACTAACAGCAGACAGGAAGATGGTATAAACACCCTTTGCAGTATGTGAAGTTGTGGGGTACGGGATGGGAAGGGGAGGAAGGAAGGGTAATTAGCAGGGCTCTATTTTGGAGACAGTCCGCTAACTCCATATGATTGAACTACAGTTACCTCCAAGGCTACATACTTGGTTCACCTTATTTCACTTCTCAAAAGCCAAAGCAAACCAATCACAGGTTCTTTCTTTTTCTTCTTTAGGTTAGGGCTTGAGTTTAGGGTCCAGACCATAGACTCAGAAAGAGCTGACTTCAGATTCCACTCAGAACCACTATATTGTGACCTTGGACAAATCATATCACCTTCCCAATTCCTCAGCTAAAAATAAATAAAGGCCAGGTGCCAGTGGCTCATGCCTGTAATCCTAGCTACTCAAGAGGCTGAGATCTGAAAATCACAGATCAAAGCCAGCCCACTCATCTGCAGGACACTCATCTGCAAATTACTCAGCAAAAAGCTGGAAGGAAGTACAGATGTAACTCAAGTGATAGGACACCATCCTTGGGTGAAAAACCTTGAAGAAAGAATGTGAGACGCTGAGTTCAAGCCCCAGTAACTCCAGCACAACACACACACACACACACACACACACACACACACACAATGAAATGCCAACACAATCTTATAGGACACCAGAAGATGAAACTGATCTATAAATATTAAATGTGTGTGCATATGGATACAAATGGCAGCCAGAGGTCCAGTATGCAGATACTTGAGAAGCCCCTTGGAATTCTTTCCTCAGGCTTCATATGGAGTTCTGACGGTTCTGAGGGCTTAAAAAAATCTGTCACCTCCCACTGTCACTTTTGCCACTGCCGCAGGCCTGGGCCCCATCATCTTACATGGCAACTCCAACATTTGATGGATCTTCCTTCTCTGTCCTCTTCTGATCCATTTGCCACCTCAGTGTGTTTCTCAACTACACGCTTAATTACTCTTTCTTTATCATTAATGAAGGGCCGCACTTCACTAGTACAGTGCTAATAATAGTCCTCTTGCTGCTCCTCTTCTGCAAACCTTGCCTCTGTGCTCATGTCTATTCATCCTGATGAAGCTCTTTGTCATTCTCACACTCTACAGCTGTTTCCTAACTACACAGGTCAATCTCAAGTCTGTGCAGAGTATTTGCACATGCTCTTCCTTTGCCTGGATTCCTTGTTCCCCATTAACTTCTCTTTTTCATTAAAGTCCTCTTCCAATACTGGCTGCTTTCTCTAGAAACCTTTGTGGATAACCGTCTCACCTTTAACCAGGGAAGCTGACATCTCCTCCTTCTTCCTTATATACTAGAACTTTTTTACATTGGTGTTTCTGCCTCTCCATAAAACCATACTTTTACTACAGAATCTAGCTGGCAATGTAGTAGGTGCTCAATAAATAAAAGTAAATTGATATCAAGGAGATAAAATGGGATCACCAGGTATAATCACCTATTGTAGATATTGATTGATATTTATCTGTCTGAACCCATGTCTTCAAAATCACCATAAAGAAGGACAAACATTAGTAACTATTAAATGTACAACTACGGAGGGTCATAGAAAACTACGGAAGCAGTAATGCTGCTTGTTTCATTCAGCTTGGTTTGGTACTAGAGACTGAGCCCAGGGCCTCATGTCCATAAGCAAGCAAAACTTCCACTAACGATCCACATCCCCAACCCTCCTCCTTGTCTGCCTCCTCTTCCTGACCATCTTCTATGTACCTCCTCTTCCTTCTCTTCCTCTCTTTTTTTGAGATGGAGTTTCATTAGATAGCTTGGGAAGGCCTCAAACTTGTGATCTACCTGCCTCACCCTCCCAAGTTGCCAAGATAACAGAGCACTATCGTGAGAATGGTTTTTAAAACTGCTGACTGAAGAAAAGGCCTTTAAAAGCCTAAATGGAAAAATGAAATATAATAGAAGCCTAAATGCTCCCCCACGGTATAACTCCTGTTTTCACTGTATTTGATGTTGGTATACTTTGTGGAGGGGGAAGGGAAAAAACAAATTGTTTAAATAGGGATACAGGTGGACCCATTGCAACAATGAGATGTACAAGATGCTATGTCGAAAAACGAACTTTACAACTTTGGCAGAGGGTGGGGGTGGGGGAGAACGGGGCAGGGGCAGGAGATAGGAAGGGATGGGAAGGGGAAACAAAGGAGAAGGCAACAATGCTTTATATGAAATGTACTCATTACCTTGCCCATGTAACTGTAACCTCTCTGTAAGGTATTTTCACAATATAAATGAATAAATAAATAAATACAAATAAAAACCTAAATGGGGTGATGCATGCCTCTAATCCCAGCACTCAGAAGTCGGAGGCAGAAGTTTCATAAGTTCAAGGCTAGTCCAGACTTTATTGTAAGAACCTATCTCCAAAATAATAATAATAATAATAGGCTTAAATGGTTTCTGCTGACAGTTAAAAATCTGCAAGTAGAACTGTGTATTTTAAGAGATTAACAATAAAATGTAAACATTGGGGTAGTCAATGCATCCTCAAATGAACCTATCTTGAGTTGAGAGAAACACCAGTAGAATTTTAAAAGTTATGAAAACTTTCATTTCATATTTAAAAAAAAGTCTGAAGCTCACACAGGCAACTGATTCAACCAGACTGGATTTTTTTTACTTTAGTCACACTTCACACATCCTTTAGCAAGGCATACAAGAATCTGACATTGTTCTCCAACGATCTTGGAAATGTGCCTGATTGGGAATGAACAAGAACTCTAGACTATCATGTCTTAAGGTGATGAGTTTGTGCTAAATGGTGGTAACCTCCTAGAATCCTTGACTAGGGAAGAAAAGAAGGATGTGACAGGCTCCAAGACATGTGTGATTCTCCTCAGATAACAAATGTCCTCTGTATTTGTTTTCATGAAATGGGAAGTTCTCTAGAAGATCATTGTTATGGCCTTGCTGTATCAACATATATCTGGATTATCCAGTGATAGCACACAACTCTGTTTTCCTATCATTACCTCTGTATTTAAGCAAGGTATCTTTTCTCCTTAAAAAAAAATCCTAGGTTGGGGATGTGGCTTAGTGGTAGAGTGTTTGCCTAGCATGCATGAAGCCCTGGGTTCAATTCCTCGGTACCACATAAAAAGAAAAAGCTGGAAGTGACACTATGGCTCAAATGGTAGAGTGCTAGCCTTGAGCAAAAGAAGTTCAGGGACAATGCCCAGGCTCTAAGTCCAAGCCCCAGGACTAGTAATAAAAAATAAAATCCTATATAGAATTTATGGAAGCAAAAGGGGAGGAAGATGAAGCGCAGGAAGAAGAGGCTGACAAGGAGAAGGGTTGGGGATGCTGGGTCATTAGTGGAAATGCTTATTTAATAGACATGAAGCTTTGGGTTCAATCTTCAGTACCAAACAGAGACAAACCAAACTACAAATGCTACTGCTTTCCCTGATGTACACGGAGATACTGAATCGAGGTATTTTTCAAAGATGGAAGAGGAGCCAGGAGATTTCATATGCAAATAATAATTTCTGCAGTGGTGGGGAGATTTTCTCTCAACTTGCTCTTGGTTAGAATGTAAAAGATGATTGAGAGCTCTCCTCCACTGGCCAACATCATCTCCACCAATTACAGAGAGGCATTAGCACGAAACAGGACAGAACTAAATATGACACAACACTGTCACCAAACATGTTCAAGAGTCTTCAAGGCATCTGGGTTTTGAAGTGGTTGTGAAATTCGAATTCACCCAAGATCTGACTTCAACTTGCTGATTTAGAAATACATTACTTTAGTCAATGGAGACATAATTGAATAGCAGGCATTTATTGAATGCTTCATTTGGAAAGCTTCTGGTATTTTTGTTTGGTTTGGCTTGGTTTTGTTTTGCTTTGCTTTGTTTTGCTCTCGTATATAGCCTAGGCTGGCCTTAAACTCAAAATCCTTCCCATCTTAATCTCCCTAGTGCTGGTTCTATAAGCATGTACAACAATTCCTGTTTATCATTTTAGATTATTAATCACACTGGATTTCCATGATGTTGCAGGATCATATTGTACCTGCTCCTGAATCTCCCCATATATATTCTTTATTTCCAAATAGACTTTACCTATCTAATCTTGAATAGGAACAGAGTGGCTAAGAGCGTTAGCAATGGGATCAGCCAAACCTCATATCTTACACAGGATCAGAACTTCTGTCTGTAAGTTGTATCTAGTAATAGTATCTCTTCTACATAGTGATTCTACGGATTAAATAAGATAATGTATGTAAACAATTTCACTTAATGTTGGGCACAGACAGCACTCAATAAATGCTCATTTATAAAGCAAAAAGTAAAGAAGAGGTTAGAAAAGCTAAACAGCCATGAACCTATGAGAGTCCATAACTAATTGCACCTGCCTCTTTTGAAGAATGTGTCTTTGCAAAAGAAAGCATAAGCTAAACAAAGCAGGAGAGTGGTTGGTATGAATTTGTGTGTACATGTGTGTATGCATGCACCACCCATGCACAGCATAGAAGAATATGGAGAGAAAATGCTTCTGTGCCTTTTCAAATCATATGTATGTGAAGAATAAGAAGGAGAAAAGGAAATAAACTGGATAAAAAAATCAATATGGCTGGGAGCAGGCAGCTCACACCTGCATTCTTAGCTACTTAAGATGCTGAGATCTGAGGATTGTGGTTTGAAGCCAGCCTGAGCAAGAAAGTCTGTGAAGCTCTAATCTCCAATTAACAACCAAAAGCTAGAAGTGGAGCTGTGGCTCAAGAGGTAGAGTGCAAGTCTTCAGCACAAAAACTCAGAGACAGTGCCCAGGTCTTGAGTTCAAGCCCCAGGACCAGCATATAATAATAATAATAATAATAATAATAATTGATGATGATGATGATGAAAAAGATAAGCATACATAACTGGAAGTTATTTTGTTTTGCCTTGAGTATAGATGGAAGAAATATTTCTTTGGTTTTTAAGTGTGTCCTGATTTATTAAGTTGTACCCCCTCAGATTACATGAGTACATGCTGATGTCCGGGCCTGATACAATAGATAAGCTGGGGAGATGGACTTAGGGGTCTTTAAGATCTGCTCCAATAACTAGATCCCACTTCTAACATATGTTCTGAAGCTCTTCTACTCTAAGTCCACAAAAGCCACAATGCCCCCTATGAAGTCCACAATACCTCCGCAGTTCATGATCTTCCTGACAGCAGTCGTGGTCAAGATTTTCCTGCTTCTTAAATAATCAGCCAGTTGTCCTCCAATGGGCACAACAATTGTCATCACCATGTGTGGAACCGCTGACAGGAGACCCACCTGGAGGAAAAGAAACAGTGAGCCATCTTTCATCTTTCATGGCTTCTGCGAGATACAGCTTCATACCTCCCTGCTCACCCCTATGCCAAAGCCACAGCCACTACTAAATGTAATCATCTATTATGGGTTCCCAAGGAGGTCTGGGTTTTATAATAAAGGATCCATGAGTGAATGACTTTCAGCTTACACTCCTCTGTCTCATCTACCAGACTGGAAGCTCCCTGAGGGCAGAGATGACTTTTACTAATCAAGAAGCCTAAAAAGCAACCAGCACGTGGAGAACAGAGCACTCCCTGTGAGCAGAGTGCTCACTGCTGGCAGCCAGCATCATGTGGCTGCTGGTTCTTCCATGGTCCCTTCCGATAATCACTGCAGCTGTTCACACATCTATCTGTGTTAGGAGGCTGCTCTTACCCATAGAGGGAGGAGGTTTTTATTCTCTTATGATGATAGTTGATGTTTCCTCATGGAAACATCTCTTCCCGAGACACAAATGACTAAGCCAGGCCCAAAGAAACATAGGTCCCATGGTTTCCCTTATTTGCAATAACTAGTATATGTCTGGGACAAGTAGAAAAGGTCAAAAGCTATGTACATATGACTAGATAAGGTGAAGTTAAGCAAAATGAATCCCAAGATAGGGACACAGGTGGTTGTTTCTTTCTTGCTATTGTTTCTAACACATTTATAAGGTACCATGTGATTTTTTTGTTGTTGTTGCTTTGTATGTTCCTTCCCCTATGGTATAACCCCTGTTTTCACTGTATTTGATTTCAGCATAATTTGGGGAGGGGAAGGGAAAAAAAACAGAATGTTTAAATAGGGATACAGGTGGACCCATTGTAACAATGAGATGTACAAGATACTATGTTGAAAAACAAACTTTACAATTTAGGTGGGGGGGAGTGTAGTCGTGGAGGTGGGGTAGGTGGGGTAGGGGACAAAGAAAGGAGGCAACAATGCTTGATAAGCAATGTACTCATTACCTTGCTTATGTAAAAAAACATATAAAAAAGGCAATCTCTGGAAATGTTAAAAGAGTTCTTTCTAGCCATCATAAGCAAGGGTTGTTAATACTATAACCCACATGATGGAGTGAAGGATGTATAGTCTGAGGATTGAACTTTAAGGTTCTTTCTGCTACTCAATAAGTAATTTATAAGGAGAAAAAAACCCACACTATCAAATCTTTTTTGTCCTTTCATATTCAGTATTTGAATGAGCTTTCCAATTATTTAAGACTGACTAGAACTTAAAATTATTTATTTATTTATTTTGTTGGGCCTGGGGCTTGATCTCAGGCCCTGGGCACTGTCTCTGAACTTCTTTTGCTCAAATATAGCACTTTACCACTTGAGCTATAGAGCCATTTTTGTTTTTTTCTGTTTATGTGGTAATAAGGAATCGAACCCAGGGCTTCATGCATGCTAGGTAAGTACTCTACCACTAAGCCACCTTCCCAGCCAGAAGTTAAATTTTTAGTGTAGCTTTGATAGAAAAAAATGAGAAAGCTATTACATTTTGAAGAGAATATATAATTTGCCTGAACATCAGGCTATTAGGTATCATAGACTATTATAAATTATTAACAGCAATTTATTTCATAATATAAAGATTTCTTGGCATATAATATATAAATAAATTAATATAAATATGTATATAATATACAATACAAATAAATATAATAAATCATGAGACAATATATATTTTATATTATAAAATGTAATTATATAACATGATTATATAATATATAATACATTTTGCATCTCTCTTGATTTCAAGAGAGCTAAAGTTCAAGAATATTCAAAACATCGTTGTGTTTACCTTACTTATTGCAAATCCAAAGACCTCTTCAAAATAAGCAGGCTGACTTATTAAGAGCAAATAAAAGGTCCAGCTTCGGCAAAAATTTGCCACAATGATTGCATAAACCGGCAGTGATGTAAAAAATCTTTTCCATGGTGTATTAAATTTCTAGGGAGTAAAAGAATACCATAAGATTTTTCAATAAAGATATTGATGTGTTTTTTAAGAAAATAACACTATCATTGAGAGAATTAATCAAAGAAAAAAATGTAAAACTTTTATCTATCTTTTTTTTTTTTGATCGTGGGACCTGAACTCTGGGCCTGGGCACTGTCCCTGAGCTCTTCAGCTCAAGACTAGCACTCTACCACTGGAGCCATAGTGCCACTTCCCGCTTTTTCTGCTTATGTGGTGCTGAGGAATCTAACCTGGGCCTCATGCATGCACTCTACCACTAAGCCACCTTCCCAGCCCTATCTATCCATTTATACTTACACTTAGACTAACCAAGTTGGTTCCTTCTCCTATACTTGTCTCTATATAGGTTCTCTCCTCATTAGAGATGGTTGGGTGCATTGCTGGACACTCATAGGCCTGTAATAGCCAAAACATGTACCAAATAATCCCAAACATACCTGCAGTTAAAAAACAAAAGGGTGGAAGATAATGTCTCATTTTCTTCTATCTCTAAATTTTTCACTTTTTATGATACTCCCAAATAGTGGTCTGTTTTAGTTAAGACAAAGAATTGTGTTGAATTTCCTGTTGTTGTTAACTGGTTTTTAAAGGAAGATAATGTTCTGCTCATTTAAAACAATGGACTCTAATATAAACGTTAAATCAATAATAAGTAGACAAGGGTTCCATTTACACGATAAACTTGTCTTCCTAATTTCTGTTTTCATACAACAAACTCACAGCCAAACCCTTATACAATAGGATACCATATCTATGCCTCACTATGTGAACCATGATGTCAGATCACTCACCATAAATGTAAAAGACGGAGGCCCAACCAATGTACTGCACCAACACCCCTGCCAAGGGCATGGCTACCACTGCCCCTGCATAGGAACCTGGAGAAAAGAAAAGATTGACAGACAAATTGGCCCATTGGCATGCAAGCCTTCTAAAACCACAGGGAGTTCATGTGGCAAAATTGAGAATAAATCAGCCCTGAGTCCAAACCAAACTACCTGAATAGGAAGAATCAGGTAAACTCCCAGTTTACCTTGAAAACTAAGCTCAGATCTCAGCCTCCTGAGCAGCTAGAATGATAGGTGTGAGGCACCAGCACCCAGCTCATCTTATTTATTTTTTTAGGTATTCTATTTTATGAAATGAACGGTTGCTGGTTCTCCAATTGAAAATCAATATAATCGCTAGGTGTGGTGGTACACATCTGTAATCCTTGCTGCTCAGAGGGCAGAGGCAGAAAGATTGCAGGTCAAAACTCAATCAAAACCCAGTCTCAATATTTATACAGGTAAATACTTACCTGTATGTTTATCTTGTCTAGACAAGATAATAAGAGCTAGAGCCCGTGACCTGGCCTCTCTATCTTCTGTAGCTGTAGCATAGTAGCAAAGAATACAAACCCTGCTGAACTACCAATAAATATTAACTGAAATGAAAAGTTAACATCTAAAACTTCTTCCAGTCCATGGGTAATTAAACGGTGGCTTCAGAAATGAAGCATGAGGAAGTGGTGCTGTGGCTCAAGCGGTAGAGCATTCACCTTGAGCTAAAGAGTGCAGGGACAGTGCCCAGACCCAGAGTTCAAGCCCCACGACTGACAAAAAAAAAGAAATGAAGCATGAAAGGAAATTCTGCTTTCTATAATCCAATGTTAAGGGTGATCTTGAGGCAATAAGAATTGGAGGAGTCTTCCAGAAAAATAGATTAAATCACATCTTTCTAAACTAAGCTACCCCCAAGGAAGGTCCAACTTTGGCTCTGGAATCTCAATGTAACACCCGAGGAAGTTCAAAGACTCAGAGATAAGATAGGAATGAAATATCCATCACCTGGGATTGGTTTGAGGACAAACCAAGCTGCATATGTGAAGTTACCTTGCAAGCTATCAAGGTTTATACAAATGCTATTACTGCTATATCATGGATCAGAATGACGAGGTACTTTTTTTTTTTTTTGAAGCTCAGAATTCCTTAAGTAATAAGGTAAGCATTCCAGGGCATATGTTAGTAAAGAGCTTCAGATCAACTCTGCTGTGTATGGAAAAAGTAGTCTTCTGCCCAGGCCAGATTCCCTGGAAGGGAGCACAGGAAATGTGGTTGAGGTGATTCAGAGATCCACCTGGAGCAGGGAAGATGAGAGCTAGCCAGCCCACAACGAAGAAGATGCTTTCTGAATGTCAAGTTCTGGGCTAAATATACTGCACCTAGAGTTGATTATTTGTTTGGTTTTGTTGCCATCTGGTTTATTTTTACCAGTACTAGGACTTGAACTCAGGGCCTGGGTGCTGTCCCTGAGCTTTTGTGCTCAAGGCTGGTGCGCTACCACTTGATCCATAGCTTCACTTTCAGGTTTTTATGTTAATTGGAAGTAGGAATCTCACAGACTTTCCTATGCAGGCTGGTTTTGAACTGTGATCCTCAGCTCTCAGCCTCCTGAGTAGCAAGGATGACAGGCATGAGCCACCAGTGCCTGGCTCTGCACCTAGAGTTTTAATTTCCCAATTTTTACCTGATGTAGTTACCAATGTTAGCCACATGTTACAGGAGAAACTATGGCTTGGAAAGGGAAAGTAAATGGTTTTTGAGGACATGTTTCCTATAGAGGAACCCAGGTTTGTGAGAATCTCTCACACTATAATAATTCAGTCCTGCTACTTCATTGCCAAAATGTCAATAGTGCCTTATTGTAAGAAGTATTCTTTCAGTCAGGTGTAGGGATGCACATCTGTATTACCAGAACTCCAGAAGATGAGGCAGAAGGATACAATTTCATAGCAGGACACAATCTCAAAAAGTAAAACAAAATGATTCTTCCATGGGAGAAAGGATCTATCAAACTCTGCATCTTTCAGACACAGCTTTAATGGAGGCTCCTCACACTCACTCACTCATCACAGCTCCTTGAGTGTACCCCCAAGAGCACATACTACTCCCAGACTAAACCCCAATTGCAGAGAGTACCTCAGTGCCTTATGTGCTCACAGAGGAAGCCCCAAAAGATGGTGGAGTGTCACGATGAAGAAGAGTAGCTGAGCTGGGAGTGGGAACACTAGGCATGAGAATTTAATCTGTTTTTTTCCTTCCCAAGCCTCAGTTTCTTTTTTTTTTAATTTTATTTAATTTTATGTATATTTTTATTGTAAAAATACTGTACAGAGGGGTTACAGTTACATGAGCAAGGAAATGAGTACATTTCCTATGGAGCATTGTTGCCTCCTCCTTTGTTTTCCCCCTACCATCCCTTCCCTCCCACCTCCACAACTACCCCTCACCCCCTCACCCCTTCCTCCAACCCTACCCATCCACCAAAGTTGTAAAGTTCATTTTCAACATAGTGTCTTGTACCTCTCATTGTTACAATGGGTCAACCTGTATCCTTATTTAAGCATTTTGGTTTTTCCCTTCCCCTCCCCAAATTAGAGAAGTGTATCTACAAAATGCAGGGCACCAACATCAAATACAGTGAAAACAAGGGTTAGACCGTGGGGGAGGAACATACAAAGAAATAAAAAATCACATGGTACATTATAAATACGTTAGAAACAATAGCAAAAAAAAAAGATATTTGTGTCCCTATCTTGGGGTTCATTTTGCTAAACATCATCTTATCTGGTCATATGTACATAGCTTTTGATCTTTTCTGCTTGTCCTACACATGGACTTGTTATTCAAATAAGGGAAACCATGGAACCTATGTTTCTTTGGCCTAAGCCTCAGTTTCTTTAACCGTAAAACAATATAGTGTGAGTAAGTGATTTATGGAGTCCTCTTCTCACACTAGTATCTTTTCAGATTAAGATCCGATAAGCTCCCAAGCCTGGGTTTCCTTCTGATGGAAGATAATTCCCCGGGACTGGTCTTAGAGCTGAAGCCACTCCTTAGCTGAGACATATAATAAGGCCTGTGACCTTGACCAAGTAACTTTCCTTGAGAATCAACCCTTTCTTAAATCAGTCCTTTTAGGGCTATAAAAAGACAATATGGATTGGGAGTGGCTGCTTAGGCATTCTCAATTTGCTGGCAAGTCAAAAAGAAAGGTCTTACAAATAAACCAACAGAGAAAGCAAGGCCAAGGATCTAAAAACCCACAGTCAGCAAGTAGTAGCTAGGGTAATACTCTGGCCAAAAAAAAAAATGGTTTTTCAGGACAGGAAAGGCTAAAGACATTTTAACTGTTCATGCAATTCCAAACTAAGCACAAAACAGACATGAGTGAATATTTCATAACAAATCCCCAGGAATATTTCTGATGGTTCTTGTTGGTGGTTATTATTTAAGGGCTGGTGCATGGCTCAATTGGTAGAACAACTCTTAGCAAGCCCAGAGCCCTAAGTTCAAATCCCAGAATCACCAAAAATAAAAAAGGAGAGAAGAACAAAGAAATGAAAATATAGAAATGAAGAGGAAGATTTATTTCTCCTTTTCGCAAAGCTGGCCTTAGAAAAGACATGCTGGCCTCAGAAATCAGACCAAGGAAGAGAGGCAAAGCAAGAAGTCGTGTGAGGAAGATTTCCTCCAGAAAGCATGTCTCCACAGACAGGCCAATTTGAACAGCTATTCAATTCAAACCACTTTCACAACCACTAATGAGCCTTCCTTAACAAGGACATATTAAAGAAGCTTGAAGAGGAAGAGTAGCATGATTAAGAACTAATTCTTTTGTTACAAACAAAATAAATAAAAGCAGGCATTTGGGATCATGCTGTGGATAGACTGACCTGCATGGACAAGGACATGAAATGAAAACTCAGAGATTTCCCAAGATCAGCTCTACAAGGAAAAGGACTTGGGATCATAAATAAAAAAACTTGAATTTCTAGCAACATTACCAAGAATCCATGGCCAATCTTCTCACCCAGTCATTGCAAAAGCAGCCCCCAAAAGATAGCATATATTATCTGGGCACGAGTGTCACACATCTGTAATCCTAGCTAGCTACTCAAGAGGCTGAGGATTGCGGTTCAAAGCCAGCCTCTTATCTCTAATTAACAACACACACACACACAACCAAAACAGAAGTGGCACTGTGGCTCAAGTGATAGAGTAAGAGCCTTGAGTGAAAAGCTAAAAAGAAGAAACACAAAAAGATAACTCATTACCTTACTTAAGTAACTGTAACCCTCTGTACAGCACCTTTACAATCTTTTTTTAAAAAAACAAGATAATGTATAATTTTCTTTCCAGGTACTGGTGGCTTATGCCTGTAATCCTGGCTACTCAGGAGGCTTCACTAAAGATAACAGTGGAAACACAATGGGACAAATCCAATCCTTACAGCTTGGGCCACATTCTGACTTTTAGAGTCTAAAGCACATTTGCCTTCATGGACCCTTTTCCCTATAAAAACATTTTAAAGTACATTTTGCAGTTTATGATGTCTCCTTTTTGTTTTTGTTTGTGGCAATACTGATGCTCAATGCTTGGCATTTGCTAATAAGCAACCCCCCCACCACTTGAGCTATGCTCCCAGCTTTTTTTTTGCTTTTAGTTTGTTTTCCAGGAAGGGTCTCTCACGTTTGCTCAAGTCAGCCTTGGACAATATCCTTCTTCTACCTGTGCCTCCTAAGTAGTTGGTACCTCAAGAGTACGCAACCACTCCTGGCATGTTAACAAGATGAAGTTCACTAAGCTTTTAGTCAGGCTAGCCTCAAATAGACACATTCCTGTCTCTACCCTCCAACACCCAGGATTGCAGGCACGAACCTCCACATCTGACTACCATATTGTATTTCTAACTTTAGCAAAATTTGGAGACCCAGGAATTAAAATTACATCACTCTTTGGGGAGCACTAATTTTCTTTGAGTAAGATGAATGGGTACCACTTCATTTTTATCTGTAATATTGTGAATATATGAATTTAAATATCTCTATGCTGATGTTGACATGCTAGTAGTAAGGAAAGTACCATATCAAGAGAGAGGTAAACTCATTGCAGAACCTGTGTTAACTTGGGTAAGTCATTGCACTTCAGCGTCAATGTTTAAAAAAGAGGGACTTGATAATCCCACCTCTTTCACTTTTGGTCTTAGCCAATGGCATTTGTTGGCCAATCCAACAACCACCTCCAACTGCTTATCCCTTCTCCTTCTCTACTTCAGATGCTAGTTCTCCTAACCTTCTTAGAAGATGACACAATTAGGACCAAGGAAATATAAGTGAAAGTCTAGTTGGAGCTGTGGAAAGCTATTTTGTTTTCCTGGTCAAAGGAAGAGAAGGAGCAAGAACAGAAGCAAAATGAGGACTTGCCAAAGAGAAATGTCTGAACACACCTAGACTCTAGATGACCCAATAGCAGAAACCAGTCACTTTGGGAAATTTACTATGTGGGGGGAAAAAAGGAAATTATTTTCAAGGTTCTTCGTAGATTTCTTTTCAATCCCCAAAAGCATCCCTAAGTGAAACTTGTTATGATTCTCACATACTTACCACAAAAAGAAGTTGTGGCCAGACGGCTTCTCTCCAAAGGTGGTGCCCACTTACTCCACATGCCATGGCAGGCTGGGTAGGTCACACCCTGCAAGAAGGGTTGAAAGTCAATCATTTTGACTCCTATTTCTCTCTGTGCTTTAAATTCGGATCACTATGGGATGAATGGCCCTTTACTGTATATAAATTTGAAAGCATGTGAAGCATTGTAATGAAAGTGATCACAATCATAGCCATCACCAGAGAACTGAAATGGCAGGACAAGATAGGAGATTTAAAAACAACAACAACAACAACTGAGTAAAAAAAAATGTTTTTTTGGTGAGGACCATGTTGTCTCAGACATTATCAAAACTTCAAGGAAAGTCTATCTCTTACCTCCACTAGGCCCTGCAAAATTCTGACACCCATGACACAGCCATAATGTACTCTGGCTGCAGACGGAATGAACATGTTCAAAGTTGATGTTAAGAAAATGGCAGCTCCAAAGACCCTAAAGAAACAGAGCATTGTGTTATTGAATGGGGCAAGATGGATGAGATACTTCAGTGAAATATCCAGAAACCAACCTAACAGCTCATGAAAGTTCATTGTAGAAATTAAAGAGGCATTAGTTTAGAGAAATAGGTGATGTTTGGGGATCTGATATGTTCAAGCTAGACTCCTGGGCTGCTTCTTCCAAGTTTGAGTACCAGGGCCAATTATAAAAACATTTATAGCAATGCAGGAATGTCCTGCTTAGATGATATCCATATTGGTCCAGAATGACCAAGTTGAAAGGAACTTGCTAGACATCTACCATTCTACCTGGCTCCATCTAAGTGAACATCTCTCTTACCCGTGACTTCTATATTTGTGGGATTATGTCTCTTGTTCTCCACAATGCTTTTAGTAGACCACAAGAGAAACTAATGACTATCCAGCCATCAGCTTATGATCAGCCTGGGACCAGCCAAGCACAAAACAAGTCCTGTACCTACCTATCTCAGCATACCAGTACCACCAGTACCACCAATAAATACCCTGCCAGTACCACTTGCTTTCTCCTCCCTGCCCTGCCCAGGATTCACTGGAGGTAAAGAGAAGGAGGTGGTTTCTTCTCTCCTCCCACACATTATTAGTGGCATGCTGTAAAAATCATATTATATGTGATTTTCTTTGAGGGCAGAAGTGTAAGCAGTAACCAAGGAGACCAAAGCAACCCATATTTGATTACTTTTTTAAAAAGAATATAATGGGTAGATAACAATAAGAGGTACAAATTAGAAAAGGATTTAAGGTGGGAGGAGTGGGTGAGAATATTGAAAAGGTGATATTGATCAAGATGTACTGTTATTGAATGGGGCGATGATGCATGCTTCAGTGACTGGCAACTTCTTTGTACAACTACTTAAAGATAATAGGAATATTCAAGAAGAACCTAAGGAAAGACAGTTATGTTTCTACAGTTTTAGATCTCATCATGGTGGCTTTCAAATTCTTTGACCTTGACCCATAAAATAGAGCTCACTTTGAAGCCCATATGATACCTACTCACACACAAATGTAATACAAAAAAGTTTCAATAATATTTCCCCTATGTTGCTAGCTTATTTTCTGTCTTATTTGACTACCTTCTCTTCCATTCCTCTCTCTTAAAAATTCTTATTGGTGAATCACTATGTTAACTTCACAACCATCGGATGAATTGTTTTTTACAATTTGAAAAAAATTACTCTCTCAGTTTACGTAAAGTCATCTGAGAAACATGAGAGGTGGCCTGAAAATACATCAGGTACATGATACATTTTACAACACCTCCCCCAAGTGGCCATCTTCTTGTGCTTGACTGCCTCTAATGACAGGACTCACTGCTTATTGAGATAACTCATAATTGCTAAAACACTCAGCTTCTCAGACCCCTTCCATGGGCATATCTTTGGCTGGGGCCAAGGTTCAAGGGGTAGAGCCACCTGCATCTAAAGCACTAAATTCAAACCTCAGTACAAAAAAAAGTATTTTGCCATCTGAAGGTCAGCCCTATTGAACACAAGATAGAACCTTTGTGGTACTTAGTATAAGTACATAGGTTCACAGACCATCATCAGCAATTTAGTCCAATGTTTCTTGTCACAAATGAGAAACTGAAGGTCAGAGAGAGACTGCAATTGAGTAGAGGTAACTCAGTAAGCCAGTGAGGAGCCAAGAACGGTTCTTTTCCTGGCTCAAAGTTAATTGCCCTTTTGACCAAATAAACACTTAGTGAGTTGTAAGTAACACTATTTTTTTGAAAGTCAAGGATTCAAGAGCAGGTTCATTTGAGAGCCACATCTCTAAAGTAAATCTATCTGTACAGTTCCTGTTTTTCATCCTGAACCCCTTAAATTGAGAACCAACTGTGCAGATTTTTTTTAAAGGTACAGAGCTGCATTATAAAAATAAAAACAGCCTCAAGTATGGACCATTACAATAAGAAGCCAAACATTTTACTAGGTATTGTGGAAAGCTGAAATATAGCCTGGGTAAACAGCACTCATGTCAATATATTTGTTACCTGTTTGCAGCAAACTTGTTTGAAATGAAGCCACCTGGAATTTGTGTCACTATATAACCCCAGAAGAAAGATCCATGGATAAGGCCCACTGTCTCTGGATCCCAATTAAATTGTGCTATCTGGAAACGAGAAACAAGATCCAATTGTGTTAGAAAGCAGAAGATAGAGCAAACAAAAATAAAAACAGCCTCTAGTAGGAACCATGAAGATGGTAAGCCAAATACTCTACCAGATATTGTGAAAAGCTGAAATATAGTCCCAAAAGATATCCCCATCAAATCCCTGAAAGCTGTCATTTCTACTTTATCTAGAAAACAGGTCTTTGTGGATGTAAGTCAAGGATCTTGAAATAGATATCTTGAATTATCCAACTGGGCCCTAAATCCAGTGAGAAATCTCCTTAGAAGAGAAAGTTGAGAGAAAGAGATGACATAGAAGAGAAGACACGCAGAGAAGAGAAAGGACTCAAAACAGAGGTGGTAGCTCCTGGAGCCCCCAGAAGCTGAAAGAGGAAGTAAAGCCCTGTCAACATTTTGGTTCCAGACTTCCGGTCTCTACAACTATGAGAGAATAAATTTTTATTGTTTGAATTCATCAAGTTTGTGGTCATTTATTTTGGTAGTCTTAAGAAACTAATAGCTAGGCGCCAGTGGCTCATACCTGTAATCCTAGCTACTCAGGAGGCTGAGATCTGAGGATTGAGGTTCAAAGCCAGCCTGGGCAGGAAAGACCATGAGACTCCTATCTCCAATTAAAAAAAAAACAAAAACAAAAACACCAGAAAACCGGAAGTGGCGCTATAGCTCAAGTGGTAGAGCACTTGAACTGAAGAGCTGTGGGACAGCACCCAGGCCCAGAGTTCAGCCCCACAACCAACAAAAAAGAAAGAAGAAAGAAAGAAAGAAAGAAAGAAAGAAAGAAAGAAAGAAAGAAAGAAAGAAAGAAAGAAAGAAAGAAAGAAAGAAAGAAAGAAAGAAAGAAAGAAAGAAAGAAAGAAAGAAAGAAAGATAGGTAACTCCCTATAAACAATCTCATTTTGTTTGCAAAACAGTCCATTTATTTCCATTTTATAATACAGTAAAGGCAATGAGAGTTGATAAAGAAAATGCCAGTTCTGCTCTCCTACTACACACTTCATACTTCCAAAAGGATTCTGCCACCCTCCCAATCAGAGGCAGATTTCTCCCTGCTGACCACACAACTGACTGGACACCAAAGTAGAGAGAGCTTAGTCATAGGCTAGACTCACTCAACATCTCTCTGTGTCTGTTTCTGTCTCTGCCTCTGTCTCTGTCTCTTTCTCTCTCTCTCTCTCTCTCTCTCTCTCTCTCTCTCTCTCTCTCTCTCTCACACACACACACACACACACACACACACACATACACACACACATACACACACACACACATACACACACACACACACACACACACACACACACACACACACAATCAATCAATCAATTTGGAACTCAGAGATTACAGTTAAACAATAATGGGCACTTAACTGAAATCCCAAAGAATATGGAATCAAGACTGAGTAAATCAGCTCACTGCCAAGGTAAGCTGATGGAATTCAGCTGTAGCCGAGAGCAGCCAGAGCAAAAGTCAGAAAGCAGTCCGTGGAGAGATCCAGAAAAGATGGAGCAGACATGGAGAAGCAGGTGAGAGACTGCAGATGAGGGCTGGCCAACTGGAGACTTGAGCAAAGGACATTTTAGATCTTATGGGGCAAAAGCCCGCCCACCCTGCACTTCTCGTAGTGTCTCTGTTCCCACCGAGGGAAGGTTTACACAGACTTATTTTCCTTCCTCAGTGGTACAGCCTGGATTTCAGTGCCACCTCAGGCTGGGGTCTCCCTGCCCAGGCCACAAACATGTATAGACTTGCTTTCTGCACAGAGCTTTCATGAGACTCCTTCAGCCCTGCCGTAATCCCTCCTCAACCTGAGCTTGTTTCACACACAGCACTTCAGTTTCTGTAACCAGCATTCCCTGATCAGGACGAAAGGACAATATGCCAAAGGCTCCAGCGCTAAAAACAAGTCCAGTACTAGGGCTTAAACTCATGCCCACAGTACTCTCCCTTAGCTTTTTTGCTCCAAGTTGGCGCTCTACCATTTGAGCCAAAATTTTGCTTCTGGCTTTTTGCTGGTTAATTGGAAATAAGAATCTTACAGGACTTTCCTGTACAGGATAGCTTCAAATCATGATTCTCAAATCTCAGCCTTCTGAGTAGCCACGATTATAGTCATGAGGCACTAGCACCCAGCTAACAGTCAATTTTGAAAGAAGTTTGGACTTTTCCCTGACCATAATGGCAAATAATATCTAGGTTTCTCAAATTCTAGTCCTTTTTTTTTTTCCATTACCATATGCCAGACACTATTCCAAGGGCTTTAATTTTGTGTTTGTTTGTCCATTTGTTCATTCATTTTGGTGCCTGAAGAGTGAACCCATTCCTTGAGCATGCTCACCACATGCTTTACCACTGAACTGCAACCTCAGCCCTAATTCATAATTATTAAATTGAAAAGTGATTATATACACATCAGTTAAAATCACCCTTCTTACCACTTTTAGAATATATATCACATGGTTGTATGTGTGTGTATGTGTGTGTGTGTTTGCACGTGCACTTGAGTTGCTAGGGAGTAAATGAATCCAGAGCCTTGTACCCACTAAGCAGATGATGCTCTACCCATAGACCACATATTTACTTTAAAAACTTATCTGGATAGGTGCTGATGGCTCATCCCTATAATCCTAGCCACTCAAAGGACTGAAATCTGAGGAACATGGTTTGAAGCCAGCTCAAGCAGGAAAGTCCATGAGACTCTTATCTCCACTTAACCACCAAAAAGCTAGAAATGAGGGTATGGCTCAAATAATAGAGCATCAGCCTTGAATGAGAAAGCTAGGATCCAGGGCCAGGCCCTGACTTCAAGCCTCTTTACCAGCACAGGGGGTTAAAAAAAAGATTTACTTAGTCATACTGAATACTTCTCTCCTTTTGAAAATAAGGATTCCAAAAATAATCTCAATGCCAAGTGTCTAGGTTTTTCCTCCATAAACCCAACCAAATGAATATCATCATTTGGGGGCACTTTGTCATTCTAGCAGACACACTTAGCTGATACCTAAGTTTTGTCCTATTTGAACAAGAGAGACATGATCTGCGAGAAATTGGAGTTGTTGCTAGAGCTGCTAAACTATTCTCCAGGCTAGAAAGGATGGTGTAAAGCATAGTTTCAATTTTAATCAATTCTTCTAAGACTCTAGAGGGTAAAACCATAGAAACTTGAGACCACAGACTATCATTGTTCCTTGGATTTATCAAAATGTCTTTTCTATATCCCTCCAAGCAGACTCTATTGACCTGGGCCTATCTTTTCAAGCAACAAACAAATGCAAAACACCATCTCATTTTGATCTGGGCATCAGCAGACAAGTTTTAATTAGCTGGCCTTGCTCACAAAAGGCTGAGAGAATGCATGTGATACACATCTGAAACCTCACTAATATACATCATTCTTTATTTACGACATGCATGATATGCTCCTCCTCCTCTATCCTCCCCTCCAATTCCAATCCTTCGCCCCCACACCCCCCCCCCCAAAAAAAGACAGGATCAATTTTTAGGACATATTCTGCTGTGGCATCAGAAAGAAACTGGTTAGAAAGAATCTCTATGGTGCTATTTTTCTTTGGCAGAATAATCTCTTAGTAAACAAACAAACAAACAAAAATCCTGCAGACCAACTTAAAGACTCCTTTTCAATGGACCAATATCAAATTTTCCCAAGCCAGTGCTTGGCAGGAGACTTGTCCAGATGATGCTAATAGATGTGGCAAAGAGAGCATGCTGCTGCATCTTTTCAGTCCAGAAAATAGCACAGCCCACAGCCTTGGAAAGTCATACAGGATACACAACATTACAGGCTCTTAGTCATGCAACACCTTTCAAGCACAGCTTGTAGAGTAATAACTTTTTCTAAAATCCTCTGGACTTCAAGTTAAGAATTTAAAATGTGCAGGGTGATGATGGACCAACACCTGTCATCTCAGCTACTCGGAAGACTGAGATCTGAAGTTCAAGGTTCAAAGCCAGCCTAGACAGTAAAGGTCATAAGACTCTTATCTCCAATTAACCAACAAAGAAAAAATGCCAAAGTGGAGTGGTAGCCCAAGGGGTAGAGTGCTAGCCTTGAGCACTAAAGCTCAGGGACAGTGCCTAGGCCCTAAGTTCAAGTCCCAGGATTGGCACCCGCCCCCCCTCCCCCGCCAAAGAAAAAGAATTTTAAAAATGTTAATTTTAATAAAGGGTTCTTAAGTTATCAACAAGTTTCCAAAGAGGTTCAGACATGGCTGTCTCAAGTACTGAAACAGACTATGTATTCTCATTCTCTTTCTCTCTCTTCCTCACTTTCTCTCTCTCTCTCTCTCTGTCTCTCTCTCTGTCTCTGTCTCTCTCTCTCTCTGTGTCTCTCTCTTTGTCTCCCACCACCCCACGTAAACACACACATTCTTCAACTATCTTTCTTCACACCTCACCAAAATCCTCTTTCCCTAGTCCAGCCATCATTTTCTCTGGGAATTCTTTCATGACATCAGGCTGGGCTAGGTCTTCTTTAGATGAGTCTGAGGACTCTGTGTACCACATCAGCAGAGCAACACAACCCCCAGATTGTCATCACGTACCATAAGTCTCCATGAGGACAAGGGCCCAGTCTATGTTGTTCACCATCTATCCAGAACCCAACACATAGTTGTCACTCTACATTTTCATTGCATCAATGAAGGACTGGCAGTACATTCTTTCTTGCAGCAAAGCTTTTACACAAGTACTGTCAAAAACAAAATCTGCCATAGTTTGAGTATACTAACCTGAATTTCTGGTTTCCCATTCACATAGACAGTGCTATTGTTGACCATTTCCACAATGGCAACTCCAAGATTGCACCGAATCCCAAAGGAAATGCAGAATCCTAGCCCACTCATGATGGCGATGATATAACGCTTGGGAATGCCACAGCAATGGCAGTCACACAGTGGGGGGCTTGGCCTGCATGTCTGCACTGGTCTTCCTTCTTCATTCAGCTCAATGTTATCTTCTTCTTCATTGGTCCCATCAATTTTTCTACATTAGAAAAGGGATGGACAGAAAACAAAAGCCAAGATGAGAGGGATAAAATATGTACTACACAAAAAGAAAAATTCACTGAGTGGAAAAAATAAAAGGAAAACCTACAATATGATACAGCCTGTATTCTGTGGTTATTATTATTATTATTATAGCAATCATAATGATTAATATTACTGTTGTACCAGATAGTATGTTGGGCTAATATGGCATTAAATCTTTTAGATCTCATAACCACCCCATGAGTTATTATTACATTGTTTTTATAGATGAGGAAACCTCATCTATAATGGAATGGAATGTTAACCAAGTCCAGAGTTTATGTCCTGTATTGAATTTCCTGCTGAAAGAGGAATGTCTTCCAGCTATTTCCTTTTAGCTTAATTTTAGAGACACTGGAAACTTGCTGAAAATATACTCAGACAAAAAATTAAATAATTGATTCTTTATTTCCTATTCTTCTTAACTAAGTGTTAATAAAAACAAGTTTTAAGTCTTCTTCTAAGTAAGGTAAGGAGGCTTTTTTGTTGTTGTTGGTTGTGGGGCTTGAACTTTGGGCCTGGGTGCTGTCCATGAGCTCTTCACCTCAAAGCTAGCGCTCTACCGCTTGAGCTGTAGTGCCACTTCCGGCCTTTTCTGTTTATGTGGTGCTGAGGAATCGAACCCAGGGCCTCATGCATGCAAGGCAAGCATTCTACCATTGAATCACAACATATACCCAACTGGTTGTCTAGCCTTTCTTCTTTGGGTAGATCTTCTAAAGAGGTGATCCTTAGGAAACATCTTGTATTCAAATGGCAAGTTCAAGTGTCTTCCAAAGGGAGTATCCTTCATTGACTTCTAGGGCCATTAGAGTGAATTTTAACTTCTCTTCTTATTTTTTATTTTTTGTAGTAGTGAGTTTGAACTCAGGGCCTCACACTTGGTAGATAGGTATTCTAACCCTTAAGCTATGTCTCCAGCACATTTTGGGCATTGGTTGTTTACAAGAGAGGGTCTTAGTTGATGTTCAAGCCAGCCTGGACTACAATTCTCCTTTTTGTGCTTCCCTTTGCTGTTAGGATGACAGGTACATGTCACCACAACTAGCCACTGTGCTTCTCCTATAGCTTGTGGTAACAGATGCACACCTTTGTGCCCAGACATTGGTTGAGATGAAGTCACATGAACTTTTTTTTTCATTTTGCCTGGGCTAATAACCTCAAACCATGATCTCTCCCTCTAACCTATCTGCCTTCCAAGTAGCTAGGATTACAGGTTTAAGCCACACCCATTGAGCTTTTTTCTTTCCTAAGAGGAGTAATTGAGCAAACATTCTTTCTGCAAATGCTTACCAGTTTTCATAAATATTAAATTTAATATTAAACAGCTAATATAGCAGTTAAGAAATAAATTGAAACAAAATAGTTTGCTTGGTCTACCAATCCATACAGAGATGGTCTTGGCAGTTTCTTCTGATAAGATTTAAAGCACAACTATGGAGAAACAGATATGCTAGACTCACTTCAGTTTATCAGATACTTACTAATTTTACTTAATGTGTCTGGCACTGTGGGAATTGTTGGGAATAAACAATGAATGTGATGTGTTCTCCACCTTCCTTCAGTTCTTAGGCTGGTAGGAAAGACCCCTATACAAAGAGCTAGAATTACTAGATCCTTCAAGCTTTGTTGAAATCAAAGAACAGGATAAAATAGAAGGAGATATCTATAACAAAGTTTGAACAACAGAAATTTACTTTCCTACAATTCTAGAAGCCAGAAACCCAAGATCAGGATGTTAGTATGGTTGGTTTCTTCTAAGACCTCTCTCCTTGGCTTGTAGTTGGCCATCTCGCCCCATAACTCTTCAATCATGTAACTTTTGTGTTTTTCTCTCTGTGTCCAAATTTCCTCCTTATGCCAGTCATTTGAGCTAAAGCCTCCTGTAGCCTCATTTTAACTAAATTATCTCTTTAAAGACCCTATATCCAAACACTTCCATAATGAAAACTGAGGATTAGCACCAGGGGAGAGGATAAAATTCAACCCACAATAGTCCCTATCTTTTAAGTGGGCTAATCATTGTCATTGTCTCATAGGGTTAATGAATGCCACATGTAAATAATTTAGTGCAGAGATTTATATTAATAAATGGTAAGTACTGTTATTCTTGCTATTAATAAAAGTGTTACTTGTCCTAAACTTAGCATCTCTATGTTCATGCAGATGCTGTAAATGGGGAGTAATAAAGAGTGATATTTTCAGGCAGTGTGGGGCTTTTAGGAGCTTAATTAAAGTCAGCCCCAGCTGCTGCACTCTGATTCTACCATGGCTTTGGCACCAGGACAAGGTTTTTCTCAAAGCAAGCAGCCTTGCTTTCTCATAAGGACTAAGCATTGCAAGGTTATAGGAAAGCCCTTCCCTGCAAGAGGCAAGACTCCCCACTGGCCTTGCTAAAACTTCCTAGTACTGCCTCAAACTCTTCTACCTAACCTTGTCTGAATGCTCTCCTCACTCCCTCCCACCTCTGTTTTCCCTCAGTAAGCCTCTTATGCGTCTAGTCCAGTCTTGCTATGCTTTTTAGAAGGCCTAAACCAACACTGAGGGATATTACAACACTCTGGGTCAGGGGCTAGAGAAAGGGAAGGAAAGTAGTGAGAAAAGGGCAGCTATCCCTGATAGAAGGAAGCCTTTGCTCCCTTGTTTGCAGGGACTTGACTCATCTGATCTGAAGCTACCTCCTCCTAGCACCTGCCCAATGGGAGACCAGAGATATGAGGAATAAATACAGGACTGGATTTGCGGACTGGGAATCAGTCCTGATCTCCCTTACCTGCTGTGACAGCTAAGCCATGACTTCACAGAAAATGTGTATGAACGAGAGGGAGATACTTCCTGATTTGTCTGTGAGTCAGGCAGACCCCATCTCCATGCACCCAGATAGACTGAAACTTAATTTCCAACAGCCAGGACCTCAGAGTAAGATTCAATACTTCTTTAAAAAATTTTATAACCAGGTGCTGGTGGCTCCTGCCTGTAATCCTAGCTACTCAGGAGGCTGAGATCTGAGGACCATGGTTCAAAGCCAGCCTGGGCAGGAAAAGTCTATGAGACTCTTATCTCCAATAAAACCATCAGAAAACCAGAAATTGTGCTGTCACTCAAGTGCTAGAGTGCTAGCCTTGAGCTGAATTGCTGAGGGACAGCGCCCAGGCCCAGAGTTCAAGCCCCACGACTGACAAAAATTAAAAATTAAAAAATTAAAACATTTTATAGCACATGTTAGTTGTCCAAGGGTCCCGCTGAGACGTATCTGTGTATGCCTATGATGTTGACTCACCTCCCCCATCTCTGTCCATCATCTCCCACCCTACTTCTTAAGACAATATGAACAGGTTTTATTGTCCCAGTTCTGTAACTGGATGGGAAGTACCTTGACCATATGCATTCTGCTTCACTCTTTCCATTCATCCTCCCAAAAGTACCTACCCCCAAACAAGACTTCTGTACATTCCTACCATTCATTTCTTGAAGTGATTTGCTCTAGAAACATTAAAATACTGGATGGCTTAAGATGTAGCTCGGTGGAGGGTGCTTACCTACCATATTCAAGGGCTTCGGTTCAATCCCTAATAAGGCACAACATGTAAAATAATACCAATAACAAGTAATATATTATTTCTTGCATAGGCAAGCTCACAGAGGAAAACTGAGAAGCAGACCACCTGTATAATGGACCACACAAGGCTTTAGACAGTCGGGTAAGCTGACTTGATTTTCAGCTCTGCTGGCTCTGAGTTTAAGGCAATTAACTTAGTCTTTCTGACCACATTTCCTCACCTGTATAATAAATTCAAATCCTATCTCCCAGAGCTTTTTTCAAAAATGTATTTTATCTGAAAATGCTAAAAACAGAGGGGTTATAGTTACATAAATCAGGCAAAGAGTGCACTTCTTTTCAGATAATGTCACCTCCTTCTCTCAGAGTGGATTCAGGGTACTGGGGATCAACACAGGACTGCAGGCATGCTAATCACATACTCTACCCTGACACTGTATCTTCAGTGTTTTAGTTTTGAATATCCTTCTATTACAGCAGTTATCATATTCCATTAGTTTTGTTTTCATGAAGGTAGTAGGTGGTGAATAAATACGTGTTGATTTGCCTCCACAAATAAAGATCTCTCCCACATCATAAACGCGCTGAAGGCAAGAGCATTCTCCTCATCATCTTTATTTCTAGTTCATAGGGAATTTTCATTCAGCAGAATAGAATCTTGCAGGTCAATCCCAGACATTATTACTGACTTGAAGAGTTTAGAGACAGGGTATGGATCTATTCATCCCTGCCCAGAAACAAACTTTTATAGAAGGATGAGAGAGAGGAAAGTTAGTGAAGAATAAGAAAGAAAAAAAGATAAAGTCCTTTCTGAAGAAATGGAAGACTTTAATTATCCATAATAACTATTTACCCCATCCAGTGTTCTCTTCATGTTTGCTTGCTTCGTCTTTTAGATCAGAGAATCTTCATTCTTTCCAGTGACTGTCATTGTTGTTTCTCCAAAAATAGAAAGCTGCAGATTGTGGGTTGCCAGCCCTTTACACAGGAGGAGGCTCATGACTACTGTCCTCATATACAATTGTCCAGTAAGTGCCTGAACCCCATGGTCTAATTGCTTAAGATATGCTAAGTAGCCTCTAGGCCCTTACAGAACTCATCCAAATGTTCCTACCAATCATGGAGATTTTGATTTATTTTTAGGAAGAAAAATCCATATTTGGAGTACAAAGTGAGCAGAACTTTGCAGATAATTTTACCAGTTTTTTTTAATCCATTTACTTGCTTTTTTCTGGTGTTTGTTACAGGATGGATTCTGAGCTATAAGATGGAGATACATCCTCCATCTCAAGATGGAGGGAAAAGGGAGATCAAATATAATTAATAAAACCCAACCAAAAACCTTCACAAAGCGTCCAGAGAGGAGACAGTAGACAGAGTCTTTTCATCTCTTTCCT